AAGGAGTGAACTAATGTGTTCTTCAGTCATGGGAAAAGCTGACACAGAGTGTCAGACACTTGACCACATCTCTGTAGGAAGTAAAGGTTGGAGCCAGTTTGAACTGGCCTACCGCAGGCTTCTTGCTGGATTTACATGTCCTGACTGGTGAAAGAAATTCAGGAAAAAAGGCTCTATCTGTGAATATATGATGCAACTTTTCATGTCCAGGTAAAACAGTTATCAAACCAAAATGACATCTACACATTTCTTGTTTGTTTGTTTTTTTAAAATCAGAAAAGCTTTTATTATAAGAAACAATGACATTAGGTAAAAACACAAAAAATTGTGCAATTATGGCAAAATGTTAAAAAATATCCACACATTTGCCCCTGTAGGACTACAGTACTTACTACGTACCTGAGCACTGAACATTGAATGCTATTTGAATCTGCTTTTCGTGGAATCTATTTTCCTTACTCAGGTACCAATGAAATTGAGAAAGCATCAACTTTAGATGATAACAGGAAACAAAGATGGAAATTAAAGAATACAATTTCTACTTTCCTATAACATAGTTTTTATATGAAGTCCAATCTTCAATGTGTTACCAGAAAATATATAGGAAAATGCTACATACATTCTTCAAATACAAAAACACAGGTAAAGTAGCACCTTTTAGGTCTATAGTTGCCATTGTGCCTTTTATTTAGTTTCATCTTCCACATGGATGATTCAAACTTCTTTTTGAGTACTTTCTGTAAGGCCACGAATGAACATAGATTTGTAGTAGGGACTGATGGCAACAAGAACGTTCCTATGACAGGAAAAGGTTTTCCCATGATCCACTTGTACTATAATGTCTATCAACTGTCCTTCATTGTAAATTGTTTTGAATTGCTTAAGAATACTGCAAGCATGGAAGGGGTCCATGCCTTTGTTGGCTGGCTCTGAAGATGCAATCCTGTTCGGTGTTGGGGAAGACATTTAAATCTAGGAGAGAAATCATCCAGCAACAGTTTTTTGGTGAGGTATTAGGAGAGTCATGTCCTCAAACTTGATTAAAAGTGGGAGCTTGAACCTGATGCTAGTGGCTTACACCTGTAATTGTAATGAAATAAGGATACTGGGGCTATAGGGCGCCATCTTGGCCATGTGGGGGATGATAGGGAATTGGGTTTAACCTGTGCCATCTTGTCCTCATCAGAGAGGCAGGGAAGTCCCATCCCCAGGTAATGGGTCTGCCTAAATTTTTAGATGCAGGGTCACAGACTTGGACTATAGGTTACTGGATTTGTCAGTCCTGTGCCTTGAACTCGGGAGACTCTCAAGCTCCCTGTGACCATGTTCTCTGACCAGGACCCTGTTGTGGGGTCTGAGAATGAGTCCACAAATGTGGGCTTAGAGTTTGAAGAAGTTTATTAAGGAGTTGCAGAAGCTGACCTCCCAGGGACACGGTGTAGACTCGGGAGTTAACACCGTGACCCTGAGCAAAGACACAAGCTAGGCTTATAAAGGCAAAAACCACAAGCAGGTGCAAGCTGCAAAGTTCTAGGAATAGGATAACATCAACTATTTTTTGAAACAGGAGACTTTTACAATGGCAGTTACCTGTTATTGCATTCCTCACTTCCCAGTAAGAGGTTAAATTCCTGCATTCCCAGTATGGTGCTAAATTCCTGACTCAGTTTCCATGCTTGGTCTAGGGGCTTTTTATCCTTAGAGACCCTTACATTTCCCTCTTCTTTTTGTAACTGAGTCAAATCCTTGACTCTTCTTCCTGACTCAGAGGGGCTGTACTGGGCCCTAAGGACCATCAGCTTGACAGTCCCAATCCTTTTTTCTATAAATGATATCAAAGCATTACAGGGGCCAATAGTAATAAGTAAAAGCAATAGTATTATTGGACCAGATAGGGGTACTAGCCACTGGACCAAAGGGTTTTGAAATCATTCTAGATCTAGGTTGGCGGATGGGCGATGGTGGAGTCCATTGTGCAGTTTTTCTAGAGCTTTTATGTTTTCTTCTACCACATTTACACAGTGACAGCACTCTTCCTTTAAGAATACACAGGTTCCCCCTTCTGCAGCTGTGAGAAGGTCTAGTGCCCTACGGTTCTGAAAGGCCACCCCCCCCCACCACCACCAGAGAGTTGAGTCATCTTTGTAACGATGCCAGAGACACTGAAGAGGTACGAGTAGCCTCATCCAGCCTGTCCTCAAATTCCTGAGCTAGTTTTAAACTATGCCCTAGAGCATCTCTGGCAAAGTCTGCTCCTCCAACAGAGGCAACCAGACTTACCCCTATCATAATGGGAATTAAAGCTGCCCTCTTGGATAAGGGGTGGGATAACAATCTCCGGAGAATTTCACCCTTGGGTATAAAGTTATTTGGGGAGCTCTTATTACTAAAATGCAAGAGGTCAAGGTTTGATTACTGCATGACCATAGGGTTCCATTGCATTGGAACATAGCACCTGGGGGGAGACATCAAGGTGTCTGAAACATTTTGTTGTATTCCACAAGTTGAATTGGTTGGTAAAGTTAAGTTACTACAACCAGGGACATTACAATAGCAGACATAAGAAAACTGTTCCCTTAGTTTCTTTGATTCTAACCCCCCTAGTGGTAATTATCAGCATTAAGAGAGCAGAAGCATAAACCAAAAATCATGATGAAATAAGTCTTAGGTTGAGAGGCTTTGCAGGGTCCTTGTGTACCATCCATCTCGTCTCTTCCTGTAGTCAAGCCACCACCTTAAGATGTGAACTGTGGATCCAGGAGCGAATCCCATAGACCTTGACAACGGTTGGAGTTGTCAGGATGACAGTGTGAGGTCCTTTCCACTGAAGGGAGAGAGTATCAATTTGATATTGTCTGACCCACACAGTGTCCCATGGTCAGTAATTATGGCCCACTATCAGAGCTGGTTGCTGGAGTGCCTGCAAATGGGAATGAAGTTCCTATTGAATGGTCTGCAGTGGCTGCAAAGATGGAGCAGGTTATGATCAGACATCTCAGACAACATTTCAGCTTTTAAGCCAGGACACCATGGGGGGTGGTCTGCCAAACATGATTTCATAGGGCATAAACCCTTTGGAATAGGGAGAACAGAGTGCTGTTTAGTCCTCTGGGATTTCAGAGCATTCCCTTGCCAATGAGTCTACCTGGCTGCTCTAACTAAATCAGCATCTAGATCGAAGTAGGCCATCCTTCCTCCCCACCATACAGATAGACATAAAGAATGGCTCCACATCAGTGTATCAATCCTGAGTCTATGTGTATCATAGCTAGCTTCATACCAACTTTACCCATAAGCTCCATTTTTAAGACATATACTCATACCGTTTGCTACGTACTTAAACTTTCTGAGGTTTGTCTTCTTCCCTTTTCCACTCTGGAACAAACATTTTAAGACAACGCTTACATTTTAAACCCTTTCTTAGCCAGAGGAAACCAATTTTTGCCCCCAATCCCTTCCCAAGGTTTTCTTTACTACCCTCTTTCTTTCCTTGAGCTTCTTTGCAGCTTGAGTTTAAAACTGCCCGTTTTTCCCCCCTTTGGCTTGAGAAACCAGGTTATCTCAGAACTCCCTCAAGGCACTGCTTGGGTGGAGAAGGTTGCTAGATTTTAAGGCTAAGAGCAGGTCTGGGTCTTATTCCTCTTACTACTCTCACTGATAAAGATCTCTCCTGTACAGCCATTGTGGGAAGCTGCCTAGTACCATACCAGAACCAAGCAAGGCTGTGACTATCTAGTGGATTTCCAGTTCCTTATGTCTTGAAGTGCCTGAGGCTAGCCAGTGATGTCGTCCTTGCCCTCAATACCCACTGTGGGACTAGAGAGGGTTACTGGATATCACGGAAAGAATATCCCACAAAATCGTAGTTTCAGCAGATCCAAAGCAGCTTTCCACTGGGAAACAGTCGAGGGTGATGGAGTCAGGTAGGAGACCAGTCCACTTTCACTGCGGTGGAGGTGGTCAGGATGACAATCTAGATTTTCCTCCAGGTGACTATCAGGCTGTGCTTGCACTTTACCCAGAAGGGTGGGCAGCAGCAGCAGCAGCAGCAGCAGCAGTAGCAGCAGCAGCAGGGTCTCTCAGTGGCTCCAATGGATTATCACACCTCATGCACATCTACATGGAGTACTTAAGGAGACATGACATAGGCTTGACAGACTGGTGTCCAGCTGGTTTTTAAGGCAACTTTTTAGGCAGTGGCCTGGCACAATTTACCAAGGTGACAACTTTAGCTAGCTAGTTCTTTTAATGAGGCTAGGATTTCCTAGACAGATATAGAAGGCTTGGGCTTGTAACCATTTCCCAAAAGTGCAGTCTCCATACTTACACATTTGTTACCTATTTCTCATGCCTCTTTCTTTGATCTATTTTGCCTCATTTTTCTAAAAATGACTCTGGTTCCTTGATCTTAAAAGGGGTTGATGGGCAAAGATTCATCTTCTGTAACTTCTTCAAGCTGACTCAGGGCGTTGACACTGCCTAGCCAGGAACTTATAACCTTAGCCTATTTTACCAAGTGGTTGCCAAGATTAGATGTCATTAAGAGTATTTTACTCCAAACTGGAAATTATATACAACATTTGACTTTTAACAACTGCATAGATCTTTTTTGGGGCTATAGCAGTGTAGCCTGTTTAGCACTTTGGTTTGCAAAAGCATTTTTCTGGCTGGCTGAGCAAAGCTGATCTCTAGTGACACTAATAAGGCCTAAGTTACCTGTGTAGGCCTTTAGATAGATCTCAATAGGGACACAATCTCAGGTCCACAGAACTTTTCCTTTCCTGAACAATTGAATTTATGTGGCTGGTCCCAGCCTGAAAGTCTCTGCCAATTAGGGCTTTTAGCAGATACAGGGGTTTTGGGATTTAAACTATCCCCCATTTGACAGCCCTAGCTTTTTATTACCCACTATCACAGATGACTGGCAAGTTCCTGCCCAGTTACGAAGCAGACAAACATGGGCATTAGAAGGCAGGCTTACAAACTATCTTCCCATGACTTCTCAGGGCTGATCAATTTTGAAGGGCCAAGCACAAGTGACTCCAGGATCTGTAAACATCTCTGCCATCCAAGCAGTGGCTTACTGCCTCTGGATGCTCCATCATTGCCAGGGTCCCCAGAATGCCTTTCTCCATGCTGGTATAAATGCACCTTTGGCATTTTTCTTCATTGGTCGCTGGACTTGAACTTAGGGCCTCAGTGCTGCCTTTCAGCTCAAGCTCAAGGCCAGCACTCTGCTACTTTGAGCTCCAAACCAACTCCGCTTTTCCAGCACTTTGCTGGTAGATTAGAGATGACAGTCTCACAGGTAACTTTTTCTGCGTGGGTTGGCTTTGAACCAGTTTGCAGATCAATGAATCTTTGCAAATGTCTACTTTACTCCAATTAAAAGGAACAAGGTGGTCAATATAGAAGTAGCTGTTAAGCATGCTCTTACCTGGAACTTATTAGGGACCAATGTTACATGTGACAAACTTGTAAGCATACTCTATCCTTCTCTGTGGGCTTGCTGGAAGCTGTTACACAAAACCTAAAATGGCAAACTGAAATAGCAAATAAACACTCATTTTGGTAGTCCTAAATTTTCTCCACTTTAAAACAAATATTTAGGGCTGGGAAGGTGGCTCAGTGGTAGAGTGCTTGCCTTGCATGCATGAGGCCCTGGATTCGATTCCTCAGCACCACATAAGCAAAGAGAAAAAAGCCAGAAGTGGTGCTGTGGCTCAAGTGGTAGAGCGCTAGCCTTGAGCTGAAGAGCTGAGGGACAGCGCCCAGGCTCAGAGTTCAGGCCCCACGACGGGACCCCAAAAAAAAAAAACAAAAAAACCCCCCAAAAAACCCAAATATTTAGGGCAGTTAAATTTTATACCCAGAAGCCTTTTGCTTTAACACTTTAACCTCTGCTTTAACACTTTACACTTTAGTTTTCATTTGCATTTTGAAGAACCCCTTGAAATCTTGAGGGGCTAGGTAATACCCATTGCCACTTAGCTGATAGTTTTAAAACAGATATATTTTATTTTTTATTCTGAATTACCTCTTAGTAAACTTTTGAACTTAAATGACAGTTTCTCTGAATACAATAATTACAATCACCAGCATGGTACCAAGAGTCCAGACTTAGCATCTTGCTGTCTTTTTAAACACATACCCAACTTCAGAGCAGCATTGAAACTGAATCACAACACACAGATAAACTTTTTAACCCTATTTTAAAAAGCTTTTTCAATTTCTAATACATTCAAGGGGCAGTTCTAGCAATACCAATCACATCACTCACTTTACCACCAAGTTTCCAGTGTCCATCTGCAAGAAAAAGAGACAGGACAAAGATAGGCCACACGGCCCTTCCTATAGAATGAGCTAATACCCATCTGACTCTTTAGGGTTAGGTGAGCTGCCTTTGTGCCAGCTTGCCCTCTTCCACCATGTGTGGACTCCCCAGGCCTGGCTGAGCTGAACTTTTGCTTGTTCACCCCTCACCCCTGAAGATAGGTCTTCTATGGGCTCATGCTGCTTTTCCCTTTCTTTTTTTTCTTGTTTCTTGACTGAAATACCCAAACAGTTTTAGACAGACAGAACAGGTAAAGTCCTTAGCAGCGGTAAGCAAATCTTTACATTTAAATTTCTAATACTTATCACCAAATTTTAGCTGAGGGAAATAAATCCCAAGTTTCCAATACTTTTTTTTTTTGTCAGTTGTGGGGTCTGAACTCTGGGCCTGGGTGCTGTCCCTCAGCTCTTCAGCTCAAGGCTAGTGCTATACCACTTGAGCCACAGCACCACTTCTGGCTTTTTTTGTTTCTGCTTATGTGGTGCTGAGGAATCAAACCCAGGGCCTCTTGCATGCAAGGCAAGCGCTCTACCACTGAGCCACCTTCCCAGCCCTCCAATGCTTTTTTGTTAAGCTAGTAACTTGATTACAGTGTAAACAGCCTTATGCATTTTTAAAATGCCAGATTTTAAAATACCAGATTTTCTAATTTTTAAATTAATTAATCCATAAAAAGCCTTTTAAAGTAATGTGATAATTCTTTAAAACTTTTGGTAATGTCCAAAAGTCATAGCCTTTTAAACTTAAATTCACCCAATTTTTTACAGCATGCTGACAGTTTTTAATCTTGAACATGTTCGCCCATATACAAAACACACACAGATCTTAAAGCGCACAAAAAATGAAAATCAGTTGTAAGTACATTTCTGAAATTCAGTGGCAAAATCCGCCCCCCTCGCCAATCTTATTCTTGCAGATGACAAAAACTTAAGACTTTAACAATGTAGTTTTTCTAGGCTGTATTTTTACCAGGGCTTGATTGTTTAGTCAGGTCTTTTAGCAATTGGCCTTTTGAATACCTTCAGTTGGAGGAAGGTTGGGGGAGGAGTCGCTTGAAACTAAACTGGCCTTTTCCCAATTTCAGACAAGAGCACTTCACAAATTGTTACATTGTCAGGACCAGCTGAAAGTCCAAACCAGGCCTTCTACACCCTCCCCTCCAGCACCCTCCACTGGGAGAAAATGCAGCCTGAGGCTTGTTCATGCCCTACCTCTTGACTTCTGTCACACAAGGAAGGGGACTTAGCAGGTCTACGACCAGGCTCAGCCCAAGGCTAGAACTTTTATTCTCCCAGAGATGTTTAAATAAATAATAAAACCCCAAATAAACACAAAAACCAAAGATTCACCTTTAAAACTGGTATCAATTCTAAAAACAGAACAAGACAACAACTGAAGGCTGAGTTGGGGACTAACAGGCCCCCAGCTCATCCCTACCAGAATTCTTTGCTGTTCCCACTCAGCAAGCAGAATTTAGAGTCAGGTGAGTGGGCCTGCCACTCTCACCCAGAACTTCCCTACATCAGAAGACATAGAACAGAAAACAGGACAGAGAAACAGACTTACTTCTGGAAAATTTCTAAGTAACCCCCAAAAGATTTTTCTTTGATAGCATGTCTGGCACCCAGGGACTGGCTGTCAGAGTGGTGGAAAGACCCTGGGGCCCTGGAACATCTCCAGGGGGCACCTCTTCTGTGAAGATTTCTGTCCCCCAGCAGCCAGCCTGCTGAGGTCACCACCAGTGGGCTCAAGGAACCTAGATGTCTGACTCATGATTAGGTTAAAATTAAACCAGCATCCCTATTTAAATGGTTTGTTTTTTCCTTTCTCCTCCACAAATTATATCAACATCAAATACAATGAAAGCAGGGGTTATACCTTGGGGGAGGGACATACAAAGCAACAAAGAAATCATCTTATAAATATGTTAGAACAATCACAAGAAAAAAAAAAACATTTGAATAATTATCTTGGGGTTCATTTCACCTAACATCAACTTAGCTGACCTTTTCTGCTTGTCTCAGACATATACTAGTTATTGCAAATAAGGGAAACCATAGGACCTATGTTTCTTTGGGCCTGGCTTACTTCACAAAAACAAACCGTTTAAATAGGGATACAGGTGGACCCATTGCAACAATGAGATGTACAAGTCCTTATGTCGAAAAATGAACTTTACAACTTTGGCCTGGGTTGGGGAGGGTGGGGAAAATGGGGGAGGGGATGGGAAGGGATGGGAAGGGGAAACAAAGGAGGAGGCAACAATGCTTGATAAGAAATGTACTCATTGCCTTGCCCATGTAATTGTAACCCCTCTGTACGGTATTTTCACAGTAAAAAAAATAAAAAAAAAACCAACATCGGCACCAAAGAAACAAACAAACTAAAAACAAACATTGACAAAGATGAACACCACACTGAGAATCTCAGACATAATTACCAAGATAACTTCCAGAAAATCCAGACCCTCCTCTAAACAGAAGAGGCAGACAGTGGTCAAGGCTTTGACCTACCTGGTCTCCAGAGAACGATACTGCATCCACTTTCTTTCTTTCTTTCTTTTTGGGGGGGGGTCCGGTCGTGGGGCCTGAACTCTGGGCCTGGGCGCTGTCCCTCACTCTTCAGCTCAAGGCTAGCACTCTACTACTTGAGCCACAGCGCCACTTCCGGCTTTTTTCTTTTTGCTTATGTGGTGCTGAGGAATCGAACCCAGGGCCTCATGCATGCAAGGCAAGCACTCTACCACTGAGCCACCTTCCCAGCCCCATGCATCCACTTTCTTTCTACATTAGACCTACAGATGGCACACCCAGATAAGTATAGATAGTGCACCTAGATACAGACAGTGTACCCAAAAAAGTACAGACAGTGCACCCAAAAAATTGATCAGCCAAAAAGTCTTATCTCGGGAGACTTTGCAGAGAGGACCTAATAAGACTCCTTTGTTCTGGTGTTAAAGCGTGGCTAGAGACCTATCCCAGACGAGCCCCAATACATGTTGCAGGTCCAAGAATGAGTCCACCAATGCGGGCTTAGAGTTTGAAGAAGTTTATTAAGGTGTTGTAGAAGCTGACTGGCCAGGGACACAGTGTAGACTCAGGAGCTAACACTGGGACCCCAATCATGGACACAAGCTAGGCTTATAAAGGTAAAAAATGCAAGCAGGTGCAAGCTGCAAAGTTCAAGTAATATGATAACATCAATTATTTTTGAAACAGGGTATTTTCACAATGGCAATTACCTGTTCCTGCATTCCTTCGTTCCCAGTAAAAGGTTGTTGCATTCCTCAGTTCCCAGTAAGAAGTTAAATTCCTGAGTTCCTGGTAAGGGATAAAATTCCTGACTCAGTTTCCTTGCTTGGTCTAAGGGCTTTTGATCCAGAGACTCTTACAACCCTATTTAGACCTGGCCCAGCTTAGGCACCATTACACCATGCCTCATGACTCCTAGTTCTCCTCTGATCCTCATGGTGTCCCATTTCAGCTCTCCACTGGAGTTGATCTGGTTTGTTTGATATTGTTTTTCTGCTCTTTCTTACCTCTCCTGCTCTCATGCCTCAGTTTTCTAACAATGTTAAGTGTATTTGAGGGGCTGCAGGTCTTTGTGACAGAAGTCCACCTGCGGTCATTGGCTTTCCAATAATGACTCCAGATTTCACCTCTCAAAATGTGGCTTCTCTGTTGCTCAAGACTGAGTTCCCGTACCACAGTAACTATTCAGAAGGTGAAAGCTGAGGATCACAGTTCAAAGCCAGCCCAGGTG